TCACTGTGGACCTCTTCCCTCTGATACTTTTTTAAGACGATTTAGCACTCATCGTCTCGTAAATCGCAATCATCTCTTCGGCAGTTTTGGCCACAATATCCCCTCCGGCTGCGTTGTCCACCATGTATTGCAAGTTTTGGTGGAGGGAGTCGTAGAAACAGTTCGCCAATAGCCTAGGAGCGAGATTGTGGTGGGAACACTGCCTCTGAAGGTCCTTGAAACGTTCCCAAGCCTCGTGAAGAGGCTCGTTTGGCAGTTGAGCGAAGGAGACTACCTGAGACTGGATGTCTTGGGTCTTCTGATGGGAATAGTACTTCTTCGACAAATTTAGCATATACTTCGGCCCAAGTTGTGAGAGAATCCGGGGCAAGGGTCATGAACTAAGCCTTGGCCCGGTCCTTCAGAGTCTCTAAAAAACACCGCATTCTGAGTTGGTCCTCGCTCAGCCCATGTAGAGGGAACGTCTGGAGGACATTATACAACTCTCGGAGAAAGTGGAGTGGGTCTTCATTGGGCAGCCCGTGGAATGATGGGAGTTGATTGTAGTGGAACATCTTCAGCTCATATTTTCGAGCGGCTTGCCCCAACCGAATGCAGGAAGTGATTGGCCCGATCTGGGTTGGGCCAGGTTTCGGAGGATGTTGCGAGGCGGTTGTTGCTCGACCATGTCTGAATTACTCCCCTCGGATGATTTGGGGGAAAACTCGTTTCCCGTGTGTGATTCGAGAGTAAGCTCATCTAGCAGCTCCTTCAAACTCTCGTTAATCGACTTTTTGATCGGGGATAGTATACGTCCACTCCTGGTACGCATACACTCAGACAACAAACGGTTACGAGCACCAACGGTAAAGAAGAGAAAATAAAATAAAACAAAAACAATGAAAAACTACACCTAAACAATGAAAAAGAAACAAAGAGAAACACAGAAAAAATAAAGTGAATAAGCGCACAAAATATGTCCTAAACCCTCCCCGACAACATCGTCAATTTGTTGTATATATTTTTCCAGAGTAGAATCGAAAGATTCAAACACCGGGTCGTGTCTCAAGAGGAAGGTTAGCCGGAATATTATGCACGTTTATTCAATCACGCAAAAGGGAATAAAATTCCTAAACATACTAATTCAGAGATTGGTATTGACTTTTATTATCAACTACTACAAAATTTTAAATTAAGCAATAAAAATAGCAATCAACAACGCAGAACAAGCAGGATTTAAGAAGCTAGGGAGTCGGGGATATCCGTTTTGATTCGAAATACAATTATCGAGCAAGTGCTTGTTCGGTTAAGTGATTTGAATAACCTATCACTCAAGTATTCATCCTCAATAACTCTTCGTAACAAGAGAACAAGCTTGAACGACAAATTAACAATTCATTTAACGCCTAAGCAATACAGTTACGAACAAGTCTATTTCATACGAGCCTATTTCGACCGACTCCTCCCCTTTCAGTTCTAAGAGTCGATTAAGATAGACTAAAGGGTGATTAACCGACTAATCAATTAGAATAACCAACATCATGCAAGAATATATCGAACTCAATTGAAAATAATTGGGAATTGAAGTGTCACCCTTCAACAATTCACAATATTCAAGTATGATAATTGAAAACCCCTTTAAAAAGATCAACTCGCATAAATTGAACAATCACGAACATGATAATCACAAACGAAATCAAAACATCAATCCCCTATTCCCTAACATATAAATTTAGCTACTCATAATTGAATCAACAATAATAAACATCTCAATCAATGAATCCATATTCATCAATAAATGAAAGGAAAATCTTACGATTGATAAAATCCCAATGTTGAATTCGATAAACAAGCTTGAATCCAAAAGAAATAGAAAAATTCGAGATCAAATCCGTGTTCTACGTCGAAAACTATGAAAAGAGAATGAAAAAAACGATGGGGACCTTAGAACCTAGTTTTGAACTTAATAAAAATCGTTTACAAAAACTGCTCCTTAAAATCCTGGAAACGCGCCCTTCGCGGCCGCGGAGAGTCCCGCAGGCTGCGGTGAAGAGACGCCCCGCGACCGCGACTCGTCAAGCGACCGCGAACATTTCTGCTCTAAAGGTTGTCCCGCGGCCGCGACGAGGAAAATCTGGCGCGCGCATATTTTTGTTCCCCGCGGCGCGCGACGGCGATGGAGTTTCGCCACTTTTCTCAGGCTCCTACGTATGCTTTCGGACTCGGAATTTCCTTCCGTCTTTTTCTACTCGACTCAACCTTGAATAGACCATGAACCAAATAAAAATACCTTGAATGGGAGAAAATAAATATAAAATAAGCAAGAAAACACGACAAAGATGGAACGAACACAACCCTTTCAAGGTTTTTTCTCAATAGGGTGTCAAACATAGGATATCTTGTCCCTATACCCCTGAACAAAATGGCTTAGCCGAGAAAGAACATAGGCATATAGTTGAAGCT